GTCACATGATTGTCCCCGAGGGTAAATGTGATATGATATCCTTTAAACAAATAGCTTTATTCAGCTCAATGCTTTTGTAGAACACTTTTCTGGTTAAATGAGGGAGTGTTCGAGAGCAGTTGTGGGACTATAGATGGATATTAGGCCAAGGCTCCACTCCACACACTGTCCCCTTCGACGCCCCACTCTAAGTGCCTACGTTCTAAGAAATGTGAGTTGGATTCATTGATAATGTGTAAATGTTACTTTGTCCCATACAATCAAGTTAATTACATTTAAAGCTCTGTTTTGGTTTTAATCAATACATTTATTCCATTCAAATCAATTCAATACTTTATTTTGGACACAAGAGTAAAAGGCCATACCAGAAGACATACAAAAGACACATTCTAAAAAACTAAAACTGACAAAAGGATAAATCTGAATAGGCTGAGTCCATATTCTGGAGAAATAACACCGAGCTTAGACCTGGGTCAATGCAGCAATGATGCTGTTGACAGAGTGGGACGGTCTTCACCTGTACATGCACCTGTACATGCAGCTGTACATGCACCTGCACATACACCTGTATATGCACCTGCACCTGTACATGCACCTGCACATACACCTGTATATGCACCTACACCTGTACATGCATCTGTACATGCACCTGCAAATGCACCTGCACACACACCTGTACATGCACCTGTAAATGCACCTGTACATGCACCTGCACATACACCTGTATATGCAGTGATACAGACTGATACAAACTGTGATACAGACTGATGCAAACTATGAGTGTGTTTATGTCTGTGTGTGTGTCACTTACATATACTTGTGAGTAATGTCTTTGATAAATAGTAAGAACAGTCGACATTGTTATATTTTCTCGAGGGTCTGGAAAGAGTTGTGCCGCTGAAACAAAAGATGGAGAACAGACTGATGCAGACTGATGCAGACTGATGCAGACTGATACAGACTGATGCAGACTGATGCAGACTGATACAGACTGATACAGACTGATGCAGACTGATACAGACGGATGCAGACTGATGCAGACTGATGCAGACTGATACAGACTGATGCAGACTGATGCAGACTGATGCAGACCGGTGCAGACCATGCAGACTGATACAGACTGATGCAGACTGATACAGACTGATGCAGACTGATACAGACCGATGCAGACCAATGCAGACTGATGCAGACTGATGCAGACCGATGCAGACCGGTGCAGACCATGCAGACTGATACAGACTGATGCAGACTGATACAGACTGATGCAGACTGATACAGACTGATGCAGACTGATGCAGACTGATGCAGACCGGTGCAGACCATGCAGACTGATACAGACTGATGCAGACTGATACAGACTGATACAGACTGATGCAGACTGATACAGACCGATGCAGACCAATGCAGACTGATGCAGACTGATGCAGACCGATGCAGACCGGTGCAGACCATGCAGACTGATACAGACTGATGCAGACTGATACAGACTGATGCAGACTGATACAGACCGATGCAGACCAATGCAGACTGATGCAGACTGATGCAGACTGATGCAGACTGGTGCAGACTGATGCAGACTGATGCAGACTGATGCAGACTGGTGCAGACTGGTGCAGACTGGTGCAGACTGGTACAGACTGGTGCAGACTGATGCAGACCGATGCAGACTGGTGCAGACTGGTGCAGACTGATGCAGACTGATGCAGACTGGTGCAGACTGGTGCAGACTGGTGCAGACTGGTGCAGACTGGTGCAAACTGGTACAGACTGGTGCAGACTGATGCAGACTGATGCAGACTGGTGCAGACTGATGCAGACTGATGCAGACTGGTGCAGACTGGTGCAGACTGATGCAGACTGATGCAGACTGGTGCAGACTGATGCAGACTGATGCAGACTGATGCAGACTGGTGCAGACTGGTGCAGACTGGTGCAAACTGGTACAGACTGGTGCAGACTGATGCAGACTGATGCAGACTGGTGCAGACTGATGCAGACTGATGCAGACTGGTGCAGACTGGTGCAGACTGATGCAGACTGATGCAGACTGGTGCAGACTGATGCAGACTGATGCAGACTGGTGCAGACTGATGCAGACTGATGCAGACTGATGCAGACTGGTGCAGACTGATGCAGACTGATGCAGACTGATGCAGACTGGTGCAGACTGGTGCAGACTGGTGCAAACTGGTACAGACTGGTGCAGACTGATGCAGACTGATGCAGACTGGTGCAGACTGGTGCAGACTGATGCAGACTGATGCAGACTGGTGCAGACTGGTGCAGACTGATGCAGACTGATGCAGACTGGTGCAGACTGGTGCAGACTGATGCAGACTGATGCAGACTGATGCAGACTGATACAGACTGATGCAGACTGATGCAGACTTGTACAGACTGATGCAGACTGATGCAGACTGGTACAGACTGATGCAGACTGATGCAGACTGGTGCAGACTGATGCAGACTGATGCAGACTGATGCAGACTGATGCAGACTGGTACAGACTGATGCAGACTGATGCAGACTGGTGCAGACTGATGCAGACTGATGCAGACTGGTGCAGACTGATGCAGACTGATGCAGACTGATGCAGACTGGTGCAGACTGGTGCAGACTGGTGCAAACTGGTACAGACTGGTGCAGACTGATGCAGACTGATGCAGACTGGTGCAGACTGGTGCAGACTGATGCAGACTGATGCAGACTGGTGCAGACTGATGCAGACTGATGCAGACTGGTGCAGACTGGTGCAGACTGATGCAGACTGATGCAGACTGATGCAGACTGATACAGACTGATGCAGACTGATGCAGACTGGTACAGACTGATGCAGACTGATGCAGACTGGTACAGACTGATGCAGACTGATGCAGACTGGTGCAGACTGATGCAGACTGATGCAGACTGGTGCAGACTGATACAGACTGATACAGACTGATACAGACTGATGCAGACTGATGCAGACTGATGCAGACTGGTACAGACTGATGCAGACTGATGCAGACTGGTGCAGACTGATACAGACTGGTACAGACTGATGCAGACTGGTGCAGACTGTTGGGGACAGGTCTTGTACCTGTCATGTGACTAAGAGTCACCAAAACCAGGAGGAGGAGGAGGAGCATGATGAAGTCAGCTGACACAGAACACCCAATCAGACGGAAGAGCTGAGAGCAAGCAGCCAATCAGCAGACAGCTGTGGACAGAGAGACACGTGTGTGTGTGTCCAAAGTTGAGGGTGTGTGTGTGTGTCCATCATTCAAGGGTGTGTGTCCATCAGTCGAGGGTGTGTGTGTGTGTCCATCAGTCAAGGGTGTGTGTGTGTGTGTCCATCAGTCGAGGGTGTGTGTGTGTGTGTGTCCATCAGTCAAGGGTGTGTGTGTGTGTCCATCAGTCAAGGGTGTGTGTGTGTGTCCATCAGTCAAGGGTGTGTGTGTGTGTCCATCAGTCGAGGGTGTGTGTGTGTGTCCATCAGTCGAGGGTGTGTGTGTGTGTCCATCAGTCGAGGGTGTGTGTGTGTGTCCATCAGTCGAGGGTGTGTGTGTGTGTGTCCATCAGTCGAGGGTGTGTGTGTGTGTCCATCAGTCGAGGGTGTGTGTGTGTCCATCAGTCGAGGGTGTGTGTGTGTGTCCATCAGTCGAGGGTGTGTGTGTGTGTCCATCAGTCGAGGGTGTGTGTGTGTGTGTCCATCAGTCGAGGGTGTGTGTGTGTGTGTGTGTCCATCAGTCGAGGGTGTGTGTGTGTGTCCATCAGTCGAGGGTGTGTGTGTGTGTCCATCAGTCGAGGGTGTGTGTGTGTGTCCATCAGTCGAGGGTGTGTGTGTGTGTGTCCATCAGTCGAGGGGTGTGTGTGTGTGTCCATCAGTCGAGGGTGTGTGTGTGTGTGTCCATCAGTCGAGGGTGTGTGTGTGTGTCCATCAGTCGAGGGTGTGTGTGTGTGTCCATCAGTCGAGGGTGTGTGTGTGTGTGTCCATCAGTCGAGGGTGTGTGTGTGTGTCCATCAGTCGAGGGTGTGTGTGTGTGTCCATCAGTCGAGGGTGTGTGTGTGTGTGTCCATCAGTCGAGGGTGTGTGTGTGTGTCCATCAGTCGAGGGTGTGTGTGTGTGTGTCCATCAGTCAAGGGTGTGTGTGTGTGTCCATCAGTCGAGGGTGTGTGTGTGTGTCCATCAGTCGAGGGTGTGTGTGTGTGTCCATCAGTCGAGGGTGTGTGTGTGTGTGTGTGTCCATCAGTCAAGAGTGTGTGTGTGTGTGTGATTTAAAATCAGCATTCACAGCAACATACAATTTTTTTGGTCTTTCTGCTCCTTTTTCATTCGTGTGACAGGACTACAATTATTTTGAATGTATTTGTTAAATCTGATCTATCGTTGTTTCCACAAATGAATAAATAAATAATCTCCCTGTACTGTGTGTGTGATCTCCCTGTACTGTGTGTGTCTCTGGTCTCACTCTGGTCTCTCTCTGGTCTCTCTTGCTGGTCTCTCTCTGGTCTCTCTCTGGTCTCACTCTGGTCTCTCTCTGGTCTCTCTCTGGTCTCTCTCTGGTCTCACTCTGGTCTCTCTTGCTGGTCTCTCTCTGGTCTCACTCTGGTCTCTCTTGCTGGTCTCTCTCTGGTCTCACTCTGGTCTCTCTTGCTGGTCTCTCTCTGGTCTCACTCTGGTCTCTCTTGCTGGTCTCTCTCTGGTCTCTCTCTGGTCTCACTCTGGTCTCTCTTGCTGGTCTTTCTCTGGTCCCACTCTGGTCTCTCTTGCTGGTCTCTCTCTGATCTCTCTCTGGTCTCACTCTGGTCTCTCTCTGGTCTCTCTTGCTGGTCTCACTCTGGTCTCTCTCTGGTCTCTCTTGCTGGTCTCTCTCTGGTCTCACTCTGGTCTCTCTTGCTGGTCTCTCTCTGGTCTCTCTCTCTATACCCTTTCTTTTTCAATCTTCAGATACGTCTGCTGTTGTTATTTAGGGATATACACAAATGAAATTGAATAGAATATAAATTGTAATATGGGCTCACCGTCCGGAGCTGGGTCCGGAGCTGGGCCCGGAGCTGGGTCCGGAGCTGGGTCCGGAGCTGGGTCCGGAGCTGGGTCCGGAGCTGGGTCCGGAGCTGGGTCCGGAGCTGGGTCCGGAGCTGGGTCCGGAGCTGGGTCCGGAGTTGGGTCCGGAGCTGGAGCTGGGTCTGAGGTCTTCCCGATGGCTTCTGATCCAGGGCGACTGGCCAGCGAGCGTGAGTGCTCTCCTTTTAAGCACAGACAACAAATTCCAACCGTCAAATCACCGTCAAACTTGAACCTGGATGGACCAGTTTTTAAGACAAAGTTAACCTCTTAAACTCCTACATCTGTTTTGGCTCGTGCACAAACCCAAATGTCTTTGCTGATTTAAAAACATATCTTACATCTCACATGCTTGTGTGATGCATCATTTTAAAGCTAGGCCCTTCGAGTTTATGTAAATATAAACTAAAATAATGTTTGTCATTCCTATTTCACTCTACATTCTTTGAAGTTTGGGAAAAAAACCAAATTGTGTCAAACTGCTTTACTAACATTTCACCATCATAAAAAGCATATTTGTTAGTTTTGGTACTTATAAGTTACAAATCTGTGTGATTTTCTTTTAAATTTTTTTAAAATTATTTTTTTAGTAGTGTAAATGCATATAAAATATGCGCAGCAGTACTAACAGCGTCTTTACGCACGCTTTTACTGTGAAAATGAAAAGAGTTCCTACAAGTCCCGCCCATCAAAAGAAAGCTCTTTTTATTGGCTACTTAGACCCGTCAATCATTCAGAGCTAGCACATAGCGCTAGCCTGTAATCAACAACAAGGCAAAAAGGACCCTGTGCAAATGGATGTGGTTTGTCTTATTCACGAGGGTCCTGCGGACTGAAACCTGCTCCTATCTTTTCATGGAACCTCTCTTTTTGAAGCTAAGGACTCAAGGAACACGTGGATATGATGTTTGTGGCTAAACAAAGCTCAAACTTGGTGAAATGTGAAAGAGAAGCCTGAACATCTTTAGGAGCGTTTTTTTTTTTTTTTTTTGCACCAGAAAAATGCACATTTTTGGATTATTTCTGAAGAATGGATTATACTTTGGGAAATACAAGTGGATATTCTTTTTCACTGAAGACTTACGGAGAGAAAGAGACTGAGCAAGGACGGAGAAAGTCTAATTTGTTGGAGCTGCAGAAGACAAAAGGTAAGAAACTTATACAAATATGATTTATTTTGTGCCCATATTATGTGTTATATCTTTTTAATGCAAAGTCTAATATCGTTTACACTTACATATAAATATAGCTGAGAAAATAAGCTTTAAAATGATATATAGCTTGTGGATTTAAAATACCTCTGCTCTTGCCAGCAGATTTACTGTATTTCTTGCGAGCTTAAGAGGTAGGAATTTGCTTCAGGGAGTTTTGGTCCAAGAATTCTATAGCTTCCTCTAAAACGACAGGGAAGTGTCACAGGCGCTGTATGCAAATATCTTTAAGACCTTTTGTCCAACCCTCACCATCCATCCATCCATTTTCTTCCCCTTAATCCATTTCTGGGTCGGGGGGCTGGGTGGTAGTCGGTGGTGAGTCCACAAGAGCCTTGATTTTTTTAGAAAGGGCTTTGGGCAAAGTGGGGTTAGGTGTCTTGCCCAAAGACACAACAACAGCAGACATCAGTAGGAGTTGTGAAGTAGGTCTTGCGGTGGGCTCGATCCCACAACTTTCAGGGTCTTGTTTATTCATTGAGAATGTTGCTGTGTCAACACTACATATTCAAATTTAGACTTTTACTTCCTACTTGAACCTTAATTATACTGGTAGAAACTTATCTCTCGCTGCTCCTCGCTTGCTGCTTTTTAATCTCCTTTAATCATTTTTATTTAATTTTTTATTCTACAAAACACGGATTACTCCTTTTTACAAACTTCAATACAAGACTTGTGGAAATAACCAACTTACAGCATGTCGGGAGGATGGGAAAAAGGACAAAACTTTGCGACGGCTGTTTTTCACTCAAACAGGAGCTAAAACTTCTCCGCGACCGAATGTTTGTGCTTGAATCAGAATTGGGGCTGAACACAACAATACCAGTGAAGGGAAATGGACCACATGGACAGAACGTAAGTTATGATGACGCTATTTCATTTCCCAAAATCAACAGAGACAATTGTTGGAACACATATGGTGCCAAGCCCAAACAAGGCAAAGCTAATTATAATGTCATAATGCCAAAGCAAAAATCATTAAATACAAGAAACCACTTTTCACCACTTTTGGAAACAGAAACAGCGGCTCAGCGTCTTTCTCAGTCTCAGTCTCAGTGCTGCTGAATCGCTCCTTATCGGGGATTCTGCTATCAGGAATGTAAACATACGTGGTATAAAAAACATTATTGGTACACTGCAAAAGTGGATGAGATAAGAGTGTTGACTCAAAAGTTCCTGTCTGAACACTGCGGTGTAAACAGAGTGTTGATACACGTGGGGGCAGTAGACATCTATGAGATGACAAGTGAAAAGCTGAAAAGGGATTTTTCTCTCTTTATTGGACGACCTTGCAAAAATGGACTTAAAATTTTGTATCAGTGGACCACTACCAAATGTGGACGGGAAGCAAATGAATGTTCACGCAGAGGACTTGCCTTCATTGAGAATTTTAATCTGTTCTGGAATAGGCATGAGCTTTTTGAAGGGAAAGGGCCACATTTGAACACTTAAGAAGTTAAAGTGTTGATGGACAACCTTTCCTTTTGCCCTGAGACCTCAGCCTGCGCCTATGAGATGAGACCTTCCCTATTGTTTGTCACGACAGTTTACCCTCGTGTCTCAGTCAAATCTAATCTCAATCTGCTGTGTGTGTGTGTGTGTGTGTGTGTGTGTGTGAGGCCTCTGTAATATTGTAGCAGTAGTAGTAACAGTAGTAGTAGTAACAGCTGTAGTATTAGCAGTATTTTGGGGGGGTGGAGCTGTCTGTGGTGCTGAATCAACACTTTCATTATGCTGCAGCGTTAGTGTTAGTATTGAAGACAAAAGTACAACAGGCGGAGGAGCAGGATCAGGAGGAGCAGGATCAGGAGGAGCAGGAGCAGGAGGAGCAGGAGCAGGAGGAGCAGGATCAGGAGGAGCAGGAGGAGCAGGAGCAGGAGGAGCAGGATCAGGAGGAGCAGGAGGAGCAGGATCCGGAGGAGCAGGAGCAGGAGGAGCAGGAGGAGTAGGATCAGGAGGAGCAGGATCAGGAGGAGCAGGATCAGGAGGAGCAGGATCAGGAGGAGCAGTATCAGGAGGAGCAGTATCAGGAGGAGCAGGAGGAGTAGGATCAGGAGGAGCAGGATCAGGAGGAGCAGTATCAGGAGGAGCAGGAGGAGTAGGATCAGGAGGAGTAGGATCAGGATCAGGAGGAGCAGGAGGTGGAGGATCAGGTGGAGCAGGATCAGGAGGAGCAGGAGGTGCAGGATCAGGTGGAGCAGGAGCAGGAGGAGCAGGAGGTGCAGGAGGAGCAGGAGGAGCAGGAGGAGCAGGAGCAGGAGGTGCAGGATCAGGTGGAGCAGGAGCAGGAGGAGCATTTGGTTTGTTGAGGGTAGATTGTGTTGTGTTTGTGTTTTGCTCTGCCCCCCTCCCTCCCTCCCCCCTCTCTCTCTCTCCCTCCTCCTCCCTCCCTCCCCGCTCTCTCTCCCTCTCCCTCCTCCTCCCTCTCTCCCCCTCTCTCTCTCTCCTCCCTCCTCATTCCTCTCTCTCCCCCCTCTCTCTCTCTCCTCCCTCCTCCTCTCCTCCCTCCCTCCCTCTCCTCCCTCCTCTCTCTCTCTCCCCTCCTCTCTCCCTCCCCCCTCTCCCCTCTCCCTCTCCTCTCTCTCCCTCCCTCTCTCTCTCCCTCTCCCATCTCTCCCCCCTCTCCCCTCCCTCCCCTCCCTCCCTCCCCTCTCCCTCCCTCTCTCTCTCTCCCCCTCTCTCTCTCTCTCTCCTCCTCCTCTCTCCTCCCTCTCTCTCTCCCCTCCCCCCTCACTCTCCCTCTCTCCCCCCTCTCTCTCTCTCCCTCCTCCTCTCTCTCTCCCTCCCCCTCTCTCTCTCTCCCTCCTCCTCTCTCTCTCCCTCCTCCTCCCTCCCTCCCCCCTCTCTCTCTCCCTCCTCCTCCCTCTCTCCCCCCTCCCTTCTGTTTTTCAGCGCATGTGTGTGGCAGGGGGCGTGGCTCGCTCTGCTTCAGGTGTGACGCTCACACCTGGTCCATATCTTCTCATCTCTCTGACTTTAAGGCCCTGTTTATACTGAGACGCTGCGCAGACGTTTCCAGGCTATTAACAGAAACGACCAGGCTCCTAATGCAAATTTCTCAGCGTTCACATGAGGTTGAAAAACGATGTAGTTCTAGCGCCCGGCCAGTAGTGGGCAGATAAACTTTACAACACGACACACGACCCCGAGCCCCGTGCCCAGCCCCCCTCTCGGCAGTATATTCACTTCCTGTGCCAGACCCTCAGAATGCACCAACATCATTCTGCCTTTTAACAGCAGCTGTGAAAATGGGAACTGAACCTAGAGCTTCGCGTGGTCTCGTTTGGACGAACGAAGGAGTAGAATTATCCTCTGTGCCGCGCTGGAAGCCCACGAAGCTAGTTTGTGTGGGCGGCGCCATTATTGTTGATGTTTGTTCTCCGCTACTGCGCATGTCCAAATTTACGTGCGGGAGCAGCAGGGAGGCGGGGGTCAGAGCAGAGGGGGATTTCACACCTATTCCCCTCTCGCGGGTGTGAAAAAGCTCCCTGCTGTGCAGCGTATCTGAGTTGTCCCACTCTGCAGGCTGGATCTGAACACTTACGTTTTCACCCCCCTGGAACACAGTCTTCGTATGAACGGTTGGTAGCAACCGACATCCAACTATACCGTTTTACTGCCACATTGTCTCCGTGTAAACTCAGCCTAAGACTCTGGTTCAGACTCACTTCTCGGCCAGAGCATGAAGCTCCTATTACTCACATTGTTCCAAGCTTCGAAGTGATTCATTTGCTCTACCGCCATCATGTGGACAAAACATGTATAACACTGAAGACTGAAGGGGCAGGGGAGAGTCAGTGTTTGTGCCAGAAGGTCCTCATCAACTCAAAATGTGGACTTCAAACAGCAGGAGCTACAGATCACACATTCCCCAAAACATCCCAAGATTATTTTTTATTTTTTTAAATGTACTTTTAATTACTTTTAAACCAGTCTCGCAGCGTGTTGCAACAGTGGAATTCCTAGTGCGGCACAAATACAGGTCATCTGATCACATTTTCCCATGGGGACGATCATGTGACACAATGAACTTTACTGTCCACCAGAGGGCGCCAATGGACAACTCTTCAGTGACCCACTATTTGTAACCACTGCACCTTTTCTGATGTTGTTGCTCATGTGATCTAGACATGTGCAATCTCTGAGACGTACTCATGGCTGGTCATGCAAGAAATGTAGGATTTTATTTTAACATATTTGATTGTGCCTAGCTTTATTTTTTTGGTATAAAATCAAATAAAACTGGGGAAGGCAATGCACTCCTGCTTTAGAGCAGATAGGTCCAACTGCAATAAACATGTATTCTTAGGAACAAAAAGCAGTTAGAGCTCCCCATCTGCTTCCTGACTGGACACATCTTTAAAGTTTTAAAGTTTCTTGAACTCAGGAAAAGACTGTGACTTTGTTCTGAACCTGTGCCGTTTCCACTCGGCCACATCTGAAGACAAACTGAAGCCAACGCTTTAGACCAGAGAGAGAGACTAGAGATAGACTAGAGATAGACTAGAGAGAGACTAGAGAGAGACTAGAGAGAGACCAGAGAGAGAGACCAGAGAGAGAGAGACCAGAGAGAGAGAGACCAGAGAGAGAGAGAGACTAGAGAGACCAGAAGACAGGCCAGAGAGAAAGAAGAGAGAGACCAAAGAAAAAGAATGTAGAGAGAGAGACCAGAGAGAGAAGAGCGAGTGTATACACATTTACATTTAGCTATGATCCATACAACATGTTTTCTTTGCTTTCCCAGAGTCTGAGAACGACCTGCAGGTGTAGAACACAAATAAAACATAAATAACTGAGCCCAATTAGAGACTGCGACGGTTTGACCCAGACGAGCCTCGGGCTTTATGAATGAATGAGGTGGACCAGAGCGAGCCCGAGCCCAGAGCCGTGAGAGAGAGGAGTGGGACAAGGCGGAGAGTGTCCCGGAGCCACAGAGAAGAGACCTGTTCACATTACACCAGGATCATATACAAGCTGCAAATGCATTTTCTATTTTTCTGTTACGCATGATTTGGTCGTGTGTTTTTCTTGGGTCGGCAGAACAAAAGCAGGAGTGAGTGAGAGAAAACACGAGCTGGAGTCAGTTGGACGTGGAGCACAAAGCTTTGATTGTGTCTGTCCTTGTCTACAATGCTCCGTTCATTCATTCGTTCATTCATTCAGCCGCTCAGAGTCCAAACTGTGGTCCAAACTCATTCTGACTTTACATTCTGACCTGAGAGAGAGCAGAGAGAGAGGAGAGAGAGACCAGAGAGAGAGAGAGCAGAGAGAGAGGAGAGAGAGACCAGAGAGAGAGAGAGAGCAGAGAGAGAAAGACAAACAAACAAACATGCGTCTTCTGCGAGGGGGTAGTTTTGCATTGGGGGCAGAGCGGGGGGGTTGGAGTCAGGGGAACAGAGAGGGCTTTGTGGACAGCAGACCTCCAGACCCCCTTCCTCTTTCTCTCACCCAGAGAAAGACCAGAGAGAGAGAGACCAGAGAGAGAGACCAGAGAGAGAGACCAGAGAGAGAGACCAGAGAGAGACCAGAGAGAGACCAGAGAGAGAGACCAGAGAGAGAGACCAGAGAGAGAGACCAGAGAGAGAGACCAGAGAGAGAGACCAGAGAGAGAGACCAGAGAGAGACCAGAGAGAGAGACCAGAGAGAGAGACCAGAGAGAGAGACCAGAGAGAGAGACCAGAGAGAGAGACCAGAGAGACTAGAGAGCCATTTAGTCTTATTTGAAGAACTGTTGTGGAATTTTCTCATTCCAAGGGAGACATTTCAGTATATTTTTAAAACAAGATTGTTTTGTTTTGTCGCATTGGAAAATCTTGTTTTAAGGCTCAGTCAGAATGTGCTCAGATTATGGTACATTTTGCCAAAATTGAGAATTTTTTGCAGTGTAAGGCAATAGTCCAGCTTGAATGGAGGTCAAAGTAAGTTTCTAAATGCGTCTTGTATGTAGTGTGTACTTTGTGATGTCACACGACACAGTGACAGTCCGAATGCTTTCTGTGGGAGTGACTCTGGGAATGTGTGGAGGAAGTTCCTGCGGTGAGACACAGTTTACTCACATTTCTGCCCAAAAAAACAGGAACACGGTCCTGTGTGGTCACCTGCGGCCAGTGACCCTGAAGAAAGAGGACTTTATGAGAGAGAGAGGTAGAGAGAGAGAGACCAGAGAGAGACACACCTGTGCCAGTGATCCTGAAGGAAGAGGTCTTTATGAGAGAGAGAGGTAGAGAGAGAGAGACCAGAGAGAGACACACCTGTGCCAGTGACCCTGAAGAAAGAGGTCTTTATGAGAGAGAGAGGTAGAGAGAGAGAGACCAGAGAGAGACACACCTGTGCCAGTGACCCTGAAGAAAGAGGTCTTTATGAGAGAGAGAGGTAGAGAGAGAGAGACCAGAGAGAGACACACCTGTGCCAGTGACCCTGAAGAAAGAGGTCTTTATGAGAGAGAGAGGTAGAGAGAGAGAGACCAGAGAGAGACACACCTGTGCCAGTGACCCTGAAGAAAGAGGACTTTATGAGAGAGAGAGGTAGAGAGAGAGAGAGAGACCAGAGAGAGACACACCTGTGCCAGTGATCCTGAAGGAAGAGGTCTTTATGAGAGAGAGAGGTAGAGAGAGAGAGACCAGAGAGAGACACACCTGTGCCAGTGACCCTGAAGAAAGAGGTCTTTATGAGAGAGAGAGGGAGAGAGAGAGACCAGAGAGAGACACACCTGTGCCAGTGATCCTGAAGGAAGAGGTCTTTATGAGAGAGGGAGAGAGAGAGACCAGAGAGAGACACACCTGTGCCAGTGATCCTGAAGGAAGAGGACTTTATGAGAGAGAGAGGGAGAGAGAGAGAGAGAGACCAGAGAGAGACACACCTGTGCCAGTGATCCTGAAGGAAGAGGTCTTTATGAGAGAGAGAGGGAGAGAGAGAGACCAGAGAGAGACACACCTGTGCCAGTGACCCTGAAGAAAGAGGTCTTTATGAGAGAGAGAGAGAGAGAGAGAGAGACCAGAGAGAGACACACCTGTGCCAGTGACCCTGAAGAAAGAGGTCTTTATGAGAGAGAGAGGGAGAGGGGGGAGAGAGAGGGAGAAACCAGAGAGAGCGAGGCTCCTTGTGGTCACCTGTACACAGTGACCCTGAAGAAAGGCCCTTATGAGAGAAGGAGAGGGGGGGGGCAGGAAAAGACCAGAGAGAGAGAGACCCTAGTCCTGTGATCCTGAAGGAAGAGATCCTTATGAGAGAGAGAGGGAGAGAGAGAGACCAGAGAGAGACACACCTGTGCCAGTGACCCTGAAGAAAGAGATCCTTA